AACACTTAATAGATAATTACCACTGTTAAATCTTTTTTTTTTATTGGTTTGAACGTTTAAGTCCTCTCTTCTGAAGGCACCCACTGGTACCAGAACCATTCCGATGGACTCATCCTCCATATCTTTCCGGCCGCCTTGTTCTTCATATCATCAACAAAGCAGTGTTGTGTTTATATACCTATGTGACCCCACCTACTCCTCCACACCTCACCGCTGCCAGCGAGGGCCCACAATTCAAAACGACGATTTCGATTCAGATGGCTTGGCCACCAGCTGCAAGCACATGCCACCAGGAACGTCCACTCTGCTAATCTCAACTAATTTGTCAAAACAAGTCATTGTATCTTTCAATATTTCAATTTCAAACTCGTTTTATCTCTCCATCAATCAATTTTTCGGTTATCGTTAATCTCTCTCAAGCAACACAAATTTTCGTGAATTGGAAGGGAATAAAAAATTTTGTTATCATAATTGACATAAAAATTAAGATGCAATCAGTCAAGCAACTCAGGATGGGTTGGGTCAACTGGAAAGATTGGAAACATTCTGTTTGAATCCGAAATTGTAGAATTTGAGTTTCCAATATATATCAATTTCTTAAGGAGACGGCAAGAATGAAAACTGAAAAAACGGTTTTTCTCTAACCCATGGTTGCAAAACGAAGAAATAACAGAGGAGGAGGTTTGTTAAGGGGACTTAACAGTGTTAATTCTCTGTTAAGTGTTGGACAGGTGTCGCAAAATTACCGAAGAGACACCAAGGAGACATATTTTGGGGATAGCAGACCCATGGCCACAAAAACATGGTATGAATAATATTACTCTTCTTTTATTTTAAAGTTTTTTGGAGTAATGTTATTCATATCATGTTTTTTATACCACATTTCTATACTACCTTAAGTGGCATCTGATGTAGACAACCACATCATTTAAAAAATTTTGCAAAACCCAAGGAAATGAAAAAGAATGACTCTTCGTATACTACAATCATCATTTAATTAACTAGTTTTTCTTAATTATTAGTTTATTAAATAATGAACTAAATTTAAAAATCTGATCATTTCAAATGATATGGCTGTCCACATCAAATGTCACCTAATGTGGTATGAAAATGTGGTACAAAAACATGATATGAATAACATTACTCAAGTTGTTGGGTTCCCATTTGGCGGGGTCGATAGTAATTTGCGAATTTCCCGCGTTTGATCTGTAATAAACATCAATTTTCAAGATTTGGTATCGGGACAACCTAATTTCAGTTCTTTTCTTGTGAAAAATGGTTGTAAGATTGACATAACTTTTTATTTTGGTTTTTGGCATTGAAAATCGATAGAAGTGGTTTATAAGTATGTCCACCATCAATCATTTTGGTCATTCCGTAAAATCTCCGTTAAATTGAGAGTAGTTTTGTCCCATAATCCCATAATCCCTCCACTTGCTTTTCATTTAGCCGATCGATTTTAATGTTAGGGACCAACATGAAGAGTTATATCAATTTCAGATATCATTTTAACTAAAAAGTCATTTTGCTTTCTTATTAAATGCAACAAAGGTACATCCTAATATTTTATTGAAGGTTGGGATCTCTTAGTGTATTATTTTACGTGTTATGAGAAATGTGGACGACATAATTAATAGGTCTTACTCCTAAGAAACAAATGAAATTTACGTGTTATAATTTAGTGAAGTGGTAACATTACATAAATGTGTTATGATTAAACAAAAAGTTGCTTCATATAAATAAGGATATTAGAGCATCTCCAAAAGAAATATCAAAATCCTAGATGGAATGTCATTGTGTATATTTGATATCAAAAGTCTTTTTAACTGAAATGTTATTTGCTGATTGGATTTGAAGACTTTGTGGTTTGGAGTCAAATTTGACATTAATGTCAAATTTATTTTTAATTCATTATAATAGTGAGTCCCTCATTCCACTAACATTTTAACCAATAAAAATTTTGTTTCAACATTTTTTTAATAATTACAATCATTTAAAGTTCTGTTTAAATAATAAAATAACATTTCACAATTCAGTAGGAAAACTGTAAAATTTGGCATAAGACTTCAGATTGTCGTATCAACCATCAATTGTAATTTGACTCTTATAATTTGATATTTCCTTTAAAGATGATATGTTTAAATAATAAATTGTAATTTATTATAAAGCTACTCCACTTGCGACTTAAAGCTAGTGAAGGACGATACACTTTCTGGTTTGCTCTTTCTTTATGTTATCTTATGTTGTAATTAACTCTAAAACGACGGGTGGAAAGGATGAAAATATAATTAAACACAATTGCACGCCTGTTATATATATATATATGTTATTTATTATAATATATAATATAAGCAGGTGGGGAAGATTTGATTCTAACAATCATGATTTTATTTAGGTTTAACAAGGGTTTTTATATCAATACCCCACAAAATGTTGAATGCACCCCATATTAAAATTTAATATTAAATGATTTATTTACTCCACTATGCAATGACAATTTTAGATTTAAAAAAATAAAAATTTATAAGTACACCCCAAATCATTTTTAGAGTATTATTTATCTTCTCAACTATCAAAACTCTCTCATTCTCATCCTCCATTGTTGAACAAAACCCTAATCAATGAAACTACAAACATGTTGATTGAGAAAAATTGTTTTTGACAAATGGAACACGAAATCGATGTTTCTGAAGCTTCACATGAGGTAAGACTTCACATTTTTCATTGTTTTAGTGATTTCGATGACATCTATAATTATTTAATCTTGCGTTTGCTGCACTATTTAAACTTCTATGTTCATATTCATCTTTTAGGGTTCATATTAATTTTGCGTACCCAGTAACATGAGTCGTATTAGTACTAGAGTCATATACTACTTTTACAAATTGAGGATAGCCATTCTCCACATGAACTCCTACTCTCAATCTTTAGCCGTTTGATTGACGTACGTTTCTCATCGCAAGTTTTTCTTTCATTTTTCTTCTTCTTTTCTTGTCACTGGGAGATGATCAGTGGAAAATGAGGAGAGACATGACATGTATTTAAAGAAATCTAATACCGATTTAGTTTTTGATTTATTAATTAACTTTGTTGATGCACAAAACCGGAGGTCTTGGAACAACGTAAATCCAACCGTGAATCTGCAAGAAACGTAAATAACACAAGATGTATCGTGGTTCACCCCAAGATTTGGGCTACGTCCACACTGATTGTATTTATCTGAGAGTATTTGTGAGGGGAGAGAGTGTGAGAGCTTTGCTCTAGATAGGAGAGGCTTCCCGTTTTTGAGGGTGAGGAGGCTCTTTTTATAAAATAAGGGCTCCTCCCTTAAAATTACATTATTTGCCCCTTCCTTTATTACATAATTACATTTAAGTCCCTTGAATATTTATACGAGGTCTAAATACGAGGCCCTAAATATGGTATAAATAGTAGTTCCTCTAAGTCTTCAGTCAAGATAGTCTTTTAGCTGCAGACTTGAAATTCAGTCCATGTGTGGGCCGAAGTAACTAGATGCTGTCTTGAACTGATGCTCGATATGAGGCAGTGCTCAATCTAAAAATGACGCTCAACTAGAAATTAGCACACGCTGCTCGGCTCGTGGCTTATGTTGCCTTGGTTGGCTCGGCTTGCGGCGTTTTTAAAGGTGAGGGAGTCCCTTTTATAGAATAAGGGCTCGCTCCTCAATACATGAATGATGGGCTAGAGTTGATGCTCTCTAATGATGTGAAGGAGTCCCTTTTATAGAATAAGGGGCTCGTTCCTCAATACATAAATGAGGGCTAAAGTTGATGCTCGCGGCGATACGGTTGCTCAATAGGCGGCGATGCTCTCTAATGATGGTGAGGGAGTCTCTTTTATAAAATAAGGGCTCGCTCCTCAATACATAAGTGATGGGCTAGTCCCTCAAGTATTTTTCATGAGTGCTCTCTAATGAAAGTGAGGGAGTCCCTTTTATAAAATAAGGGCTCGCTCCTCAATACATGAATAATGGGTTAAGTCATTCGAGTACTTTTCATGAGGCCAGTTGAGGCCCAATATGTTGGTACATATTGTAGTCCCCCAAGTCTTCGATCATAGAGTCTGTTGGCTGGAGACTTCAAATTGAATCCATGTATGGGTCGAAGTGGCGGTTGTTCGGATGCGGTATTTGTAACCCTGCACTAAAACTTTGTAGGTGAAGCTTTGCAAGTGAAGCTTTGAAGCTAGGGCTCTGTAAATGACGCTTTTGAAGTTAGAACTCTGTAAATGAAGCTTTTGAAGCTGATTGACATGAGTGATACTCATGAATGTTTATGTTGATTGACATGAGTGAAGTGCTCATGAATGTTGTCATGAGTGGATGCTCGAATGTTAACATGAGTAATGCTCATGAATGTTGACATGAATGATGGTCATGAATGTTTATGTATGATTGTCATGAGTTGATGCTCATGAATGTTTATGTATGAATGAATGAGTAATGCTCATGTATAATTTGGAGTACTGGGCGTACTTCTGATCACTGGTTTGGTGGAATGAAGGAGAGTACGAGTTGTACATTTCTCACCTGGTTGGTGGTATGAATGGCAGTTGCCAAATTGATATTAGAGTACGGGTTTTGTACATTTCATCACCTGGGTTGGTGGGTATAGCGGCAGGTTGCCGAATAATTTTGGAGTACTGGGCGTACTTTTGATCACCTGGTTGGTTGTAATAACGGCGGATTGCCGAATAATTGTGGAGTACTAGTACTTTTGATCACCTGGTCTATTTAGGCTTATGGGCCTTCCTCTCTACACAACATTCCAACCCATTTTTTTGGGCTTTGTCATTTTTTTTTTTTTAATTACCCTCTGATAGGGTTATACATATTACCCTTGATGAGATTTATAAATGTCTCCGAAAGATCGGAAAATAATTACACTATACAAAAACAAGAAAAGTAAATCAATCATTCGTGGATTTTATTCTTTGCTTTTGCAGTGTCCAATGTGCCTCCCTACTTTCTCTTTATTTCCCACTCCATTTCCTTTACTCGATCCATCCGAAATGCCGCCTCCGAAGAAACATCAGTGCTAATGCTACAGCCATCTTCTCTATAGGATAGCCACGTCCAAATAATCTCCTATCTACATCAAATGATAAGATTTCTGGGTCAAACCCAATAGACTTTGACATAAAATTTCAGTTTACCTGAAAGTTAAGATCATTCAGTGACTTGCTTTCATCCACTTGTCTCCCGTTTCCATGAGAATTCGTCATCCCAACCTTAAAAACCCAGGAAATACACGATTTAAAAAAAATAAAAATAAAAAGAGAGGGGCAAAAGTAGTTCTCAATTGTATGTGCATGAGTACTTCTCGATTGTATATGTACCTAAGCTTAATTGTTTTGTTTCCCACCTAGCTAAATGCTGGAAAACGCGTATATATCATACTGCATACGCACCCGTAGACTACCTCCAAATGTAATGGAAAATAAATTTCAAAATAAAAAGAAAAACAAGGGGACAACAAAACCAACTGGAAAGAATTTCTCGGGATCTGATCAGTATGAAAAATAGTAAGGAATTTTCTAAAACAGCAAGTTTTAAACTAATAATTGCATACAACAGTTGAAATACAATTTCACATGTTGGTAAAGGCACAATTTTCTTTTACCGCAAAGAGGTGAAAACACACAAAGGAATATCGCTTTTCCCGTTGAGAGGATTTATCATTTTGAGTTGAAGCACAAAAGAGGACTCATTTATCCGTAGAGTGGATCATAAAGAAATTGGTTCTTGGGTAATCTATCTCATCTTGATACGTGGATTTGAAGATCTACAATTGAAGGTAGCAAGTACCTGTTTCACCACAACGCGACCGTGCTTGTCAGGGTATACAAACGCAAAAGACAGTCTAGCATTTCTTCTACTAGCCTCTGGAGCAATCTCTTTGACCTGAAAAAACCTAGAATTATCCCGGAGTAAGTAATATAATGTTATCCAACCAAATATAGGAAAGATGATAGGATGGCATGACATTATGAAATACACATAACATACAAGATCAGTTAGCTCACGAAGTTTTGCATCTTTCCATGTATAAATTTGAACCTCATCTTTTGGTTCATTGCCTCTCACCGCAAATTCTACCTCACTGTGATGAGCCCCAATCTGCCAAAGAAAATAGTTAAAAGTAAATGTAAAAGGCTGAAACGGAACGTCAGCACGCAACCAATATATCCTTATATTAACATCACGATCCCAAACTTCCAATACCGCCAATTTCTCCTACCTTCTCAATAGTAACACGCGTTCCAAATTATACAAACGTTTCCCCATAATCCGAAACAAAGTCTTAACGGTTAGTAACCCAATGCACTTTGTTTCCCTACTTAACACTGTCTCAGAATCATCACCAAAGTCTTCTATTCAACCGATTTCAGAGTCTAATTAGAGCAATAATCTTCAAGGCCAAGATAGGCTGAGAAACGATATAATCATAACAACCTAAATATTCCATCCCCCTTCACTCTGTCAACTGGGCAAAAATTATACCACCCCAAAAGCTTCCTAAGTCTATCCTCTGCAACAAAATCAGCAAAACCCGCTTCGAATCGAATACCTCTGAAGGAAATAAGATATGGGTTTTTAAAAAATCTGAATTTCCAACTAAAATCATTAACTCCAATTACTTAGAGGCCAAATTTCACAAGCATAAAAGATTACCAAAATTACTAAACAATTAATACCAAAACTGCAAAAAAATAACCTGTAGAAAACAAAAAACTGGAGTTGCACATACCTTAGTGAAAACCCGAAGCAGCAGAGGGCAAGTCTGCATTGCATACAAAAACAAACAAAGCTTTTCATAAATATATCATATCATATAAACCAGCAAGAAAAAATTAATAATAAATTAAAAAATTGAAAAATATAGAAACCATAAAGAAGTAACTAGCAGAGCTGAAAGTTAAAGAGAATGCCTTTTTGCTGTCGATGGGTTCGGAGTGGGGGCGAGGTGGTGGGGGCGGCGGACCCCTGGAATGAGGCGGGGGAGGAGGAGGGAGTTGTCTTCAGGGTGGACCTTGGGTCTAGGGCCCCGGCCCGCCCATCTTTTCGTCTCTGTTTCTCTTCTCCATTGTTGAAGTCCTAGCTTGAGAACGATTTCGGGTTTTTAGGTCGGGTTGTGGAGTGTTGATGTTATGGAAATTTAGGATAGAGAAATTTTTCAATGTAACCTGTGTACAGGTGGTATATCATATGATTTTATACAAATTGTGAGATATGTGTATTAAAAAGTTAATAATTTAAAAAATAAAATTTTTCACCACTTATATAAAAACACATAGTGTACCTTTCATATTCCAATCACAATGAAAATTTTCTTTTTAGGATGAACTCCCAATTTAATTATCATATGAATGAAAATTAAGTTTCTAAATTATTTTTTTTTCAGAAAAATCAATCTTTGAATTATAAAAAGAAAATTTTATTTAAACACATGTAACCTTTTACTACATCCCATTTAAATTTTAAATGTTAATTGTCTATTTTACACTATTGTGTAATTAATATTAAGTACGAAATGAAATTAATAATAAAATTCAAATATATCAATAAACTCAAGCACTATAATTAAACCCTAGCATCACCCTTTGTTTATCATATGTTCATTCCGACTAAAACCCTAATAGCTCGACTAACACTTGCCCCATTCGCCAAACTCATCAATTGCCATGTGTACATGAGATTGCAGAAATATAGAAGGGTTGGTAAGCCGATACCACTTGAGGCTCTTCATCCACATTGGAGAAATTTGGATTTTATCAATTTGCCAAATAGTAGTAAACAACCAGTTCCTCTGGAAAAATCATGAGTAAAGAGACACTTCTGCAAGTCTCATAATTGGAAAAATTCCAAGGAGAAATACCAATGTTCTTAGATTATAAACTTACTTGCTCGTTGATAACTAGAAGGGGATTAATTGTTGGATTTATTGCTTATGTGCATCAACAACAAAAAAAAAAAAAAAAAAAAAGAGCAAATGTTTGGATTTGGTAGCAAAAAGAAAAAAAGAAACATGGAAATCCTAGTCATATACGACATATGCAACTATTGAGCTCACGATGGGAAGGGGTCAAAAGCCGCATCTTTGAAAAAAAAAAAAAAAAAAAAAAAACGCCTCATGTTTAAGGTCTATTACAACCTCATACAACATTTTCAAAAAAATTCATTTTCATACCTCACTTACTATTTTATTTCAATATAATACATCCGTTACATTTTTCATCCTTTACTCCGTTAAGAGTTGACGTGGCTGCCAAATTTGTGCCACGTGGCAAAAAAATTATTTTTTATACATTCAAAATATTATAATAATATACCCTTGTGAGGTTTCGTGAGTTTTACCTTTTTGTGTTATTCTTCCATTGATTTGAGACTCGCATGCTCATTGTGCCACTTAAGACCTGATGCACCGTTTAGTTGAGTATTTACACACTTAAAAGGGAGTGTTCCGGTCTTAATTAGTTTAGGAATATAATTGTGTAAATCCTAGTATGAGAATCTACATGTTTTTAGATAGTTTCCTGATTGTATTGTAATACCTAAAAGGTAAGGAATTTACCTTTCTTACTACTATAAATAAAGGCACAATGCAGTGAGAAATCACATCTCAGAATTCACTCAATTCCCTCTGTTTATACCATATTTAGGGCCTCATATTTAGATCTCGTACTAATTCTCGGGGAACTTAAATGTAATTATGTGATAAAGGAAGGGGCAAATATGTAATAAGTGAGGAGTCCTTATTCTATAAAAGGACCCCTCACTCTCACAATTAGGGGAGGCCAATTCCTAGGCCCTCTCACCCCCCTCAAGCTCTCACTCTCAGAGCCTCTCAGATTCATTACAGAGGCTCTCTCTCCCCCTTAGAAATACAATATCAATGTGGACGTAGCCCAAATCTTGGGGTGAACCACGATACATCTTGTGTTATTTACATTACTTGCAGATTCACGGTCGGATTTATGTTGTTCCAAGACCTCCGGTTTTGTGCATCAAAAGTACGCCCAGTACTCCAAAATTATTTGGCAACCCGCCTCTATTACCACTAACCAGGTGATGAAATGTACAACCCGTACTCTAATATCATTTGGCAACTAGCCATTCATGCCACCAACCAGGTGATGAAATGTACAACCCGTACTCTCCTTCATGCCACTAACCAGGTGATCAAAAGTACGTCCAATACTCCAAATTATACATGAGCATTACTCATGTCATTCATACATAAACATTCATGAGCATCACTCATGACAATCATACATAAACATTCATGACCATCATTCATGACAACATTCATGAGCATCACTCATGTTAACATTCATGAGCATCACTCGTGACAACATCCATGAGCATCACTCATGTCAATCAACATAAACATTCATGAGCATCACTCATGTTAATCAACTTTAAAAGCTTCATTTACAGAGCTCTAGCTTCAAAAACTTCATTTACAGAGCTCTAGCTTCAAAAGCTTCATTTATAAAAGCTCTAGCTTCAAAAACTTCATTTACAGAGCTACAACTTCAAAAGCTTTATTTACAAAAACTCTAGCTTCAAAAGCTTCATTTACAGAGCTCCAGCTTCAAAGCTTCACTTACAAAGCTCCACTTACAAAGCTTCAGTGTAGGGTATACAAATACCGCCTTCGAATAACCGCCACTTCGGCCCATACATGGATTTAATTTGAAGTCTCCAGCCAACAGACTCTATTGACCGAAGACTTAGGGGACTACATTATGTACCATATATTAGGCCTTAACTGGGCCTCATAAAAAATATTTGGGGGACTCTAGCCCATCATTCATGTATTGAGGAGCGAGCCCTTATTCTATAAAAGGGACTCCCTCACCACCATTAGAGAACATCAATTCTAGCCCGTATTTATGTATTGAGGAGCGAACCCTTATTTTATAAAAAGGACTCCCTCACCATCATTAGAGAGCATCAACTCTAGCCCATCATTCATGTATTAAGGAGCGAGCCATTATTCTATAAAAGGGACTCCTTCACCTTCAACGCCACAAGCCGAGATAACCAAGGCAACATAAGCCACGAGTCGAGTAGCATGTGCTACTTCTAGTTAAGCATCATTTTAGATTGAGCACTGCCTCATATCGAACATCAGTTCAAAACAACATCTAGTTACTTCGGCCCACACATGGACTGAATTTCAAAGTCTCCCGCCAAAAGACTCTTGACTGAAGACTTGGGGGACTACTGTTTATACCATATTTAGGGCCTCGTATTTAGATCTCGTACAAATATTCGGGGGACTTAAATGTAATTATGTGATAAAGGAAGGGGCAAATATATAATAAGTGAGGAGTCCTTATTTTATAAAAGGACCCCTCACCCTCACAATTAGGGGAGGCCAATTCCCAGGCCCTCTCACCCCCCTCAAGCTCTCACTCTCAGAGCCTCTCGGATTCATTACAAAGGCTCTCTCTCTCCCCCTCAGAAATACAATATTAGTGTGGACGTAGCCCAAACCTTGGGGTGAACCACGATACATCTTGTGTTATTTACATTACTTGCAGATTCACGGTCAGATTTACGTTGTTCCAAGACCTCCGGTTTTGTGCATCAACACCCTCTTTCTCTATGCTTACCACACCTCACCAGTCCTCTATAACTCTCCAATTAAATAGGCCTACAACATTTTACATACATTGGTGTCAATTAAAACTTTTAGAAATAAAATAAGAGCAAATTTTGTTAATTAAAAATACGATTGACTTTTTGAAAAAGACATTGACAAAACTTGTTTTCTTACAAATAGCCTATCACAAAAGAGGCAGATTGTCTGCCCTCCTGTTTGGGTGCCCATCCCATCCCCTCCTATTTGTGCGGTCACAGTTAAGCCACGTCAACATTTTATATTCTTATTGCTTTTTGTCTTATTATCTCTATAAAAAAAATTAAGGAAAACTAATGAAAAATGCTTGAAAACTTCGAGTTTTAACGATAAGGACAAAATAAAAGGTAAAGTGAATAGTACAAAGTTTGACTTTTTAGTGTAAAAATGTGGTTTTTCATTAAAATGAACAGTACTGCGGGTTTTTTGTTAAAACTCCCAAAAAATTATATATAAAATGTTGACGTGGCTTAACCGTAACCGCACAAAATAGGAGGGGATGAGAAAGACACTAAACATGAGGGCAGACAATCTGCCTCCATCACAAAAAGCCAGGAAACTACTTTATTTCATTCCGTGAGAGACCTTCTCTATGCTTGAGCGTTTTCCCCTCTTTTTGTGTGAGGGCTTCAAACCTGCTCAAAAGCGGTGGTGTCGACTACTCTAGCTTCGATTGCATCGGTTGCCAATTTCCCCTTTCTTTTTTTTGTCTCCTATTTTGTCCTATTTTGCTGTTTTTTTCCCTTGCTCTTCATCTCCATTTGTCCTCCTCCTCTCTATTGTCTGCTGTTCCTGGCAGTGATGCTCATGGTTTTGCATGGACTTCTTTTTCTTGATAGCCAACTTGTTTCTTTCACTTGCTAGTTATCTTTACTTTGTGGTTGTGCTTGGAAAGTAGATCGGGGTTGGATGATGAGATTGGTGAGGCAATGTTATATGGTGGGCATGGATTTGTGCATGTCAAGATGCACTATTTTGGCTAAGGCGGTAGTAGTCGATTTCTTGATTTTCTGTTTTTGGGCCTCAATTGTTTGGTTGGGCTCTTGTTGGTTTGTTTGGTTTGGCCCCTTTTTTTTTTGGTTGTTTATGCTTTTCTGTTTCTGGGCATTTCATTTGTAGATCTGTTTCTTTGTAGTTAATAATAGTTTCCTTGACCCAAAAAAAAAAAAAAAAAAAGCTTGGAAACTAGCAACAAAAAAAACAGCCATACAATTCATAACACCTACAACCCAATTATTGTATTAATCTAAATTAAATTAAATGAAGTTAAACTCACTTAGAGAACTACGAAATTTTAACGTGGAATAATGTAGTATAGTAGACTTCTTCAATTATAAGTAGAAAGTTTTAGGTTCCACTCGCATATATACCGAATTCGATACTTAATTGTTAAGTTGGCCAAACATGTAGCTTAACCTGAATCTCTTATAAAATAGGATATTATTGTATAAAAAAAAAAAGGGTGTGATATCCACACACCCCATTTTACTTTTCACACACCTTTTTTAATTTTTGGCTGTTGGATCGGATGAATTAAAGAAGATCAACGGACATAAATTATCAAGGGCTATGTGAGAAGTAAAATGGGGTGTGTGGATAGCACACCCCTAAAAAAAGTGTAATGCTTGAAATGTACTATTTCATGTTGTTCAAATATTACACTTCCTCTCCTTGTGCTCTTTCTAAATGCTTGGTCCTTACTTGGATTTGTTGAAGTATCTCCAAGAACACCAACTATACTTTTGTTTCTTTAGGCCATCTTTAACCGGGCCGGTCAAAGAGTTATAGGTTAAAACATGGCCCTTCTTAACATAAAATCCATAAAATACCTAAGTCATTTCTACACTATTTCTACACCATTTCTACACTATTGTACCTCATTTTTTTTCTTTTCAATTCTTCATATTCTATTCACCTCAAACCCTTTTTTAATATCTGGAGGCTTATTGATTTTGCGACAAATGACACTTAGAATATGTTTGGAAACCTTGTTTTAATATGATAGTTTAATTCAATTAACTAATAAAATTAAAGAACAAACTTAAAATAATAAATTATTGAGGGGGCTAAAAAATCGCCCCATTCAGTTGGAAATGGTATATAAATATAACTTGGTATTAAAAAATAATTTCTTGCAGGACTATAATATAGACGAAGGCTAAACATAGCCATTCACTTGGAAATAGCCTTTGCTAGCCAGTGTTTGACACTTGAGAAACTGTTTTAGGTAGTCAGTTATTTAAATATTATTTCTTGTAGTTTTATTGTTGTTTGTACCATACTTGACCAATCCCGAAACTACTGAGCACCGGTCAACGTTATACCGTCAAAGACCCATAAGAGTTTCCCTACAACCAGGAGGCCAATCACAGCGCGATACGTGTCAACATCATAAGCCAATCATAGCGCAACACGTGTCAACATCAAAAGCCAATCACAACACGACACGTGTCAATGTTAGAATGAAACTAGAAACTCTCTTCTATAAATAGAGATTATTCTCTCACAATATTTCCTAATGTCATTTGTACTAAATCATTCACTAGTACTCACTAAAAGAGAGCTTGAACCTATGTACTTGTGTAAACCCTTCACAATTAATGAGAACTCTTCTACTCCGTGGACGTTGCCAATCTGGGTGAACCACGTACATCTGGTGAAGGTCACAAACTTAACACTTTATGTTGTACCAAAGTCCTCACTGATTTTGTGCATCAACAATTGTAATAATTTTATTTACTGTTTATGACACACTCCGACCGGGATCTAGGCATGTTGGCCGTCACATGAGGGTGACGTAGCCATGTGCACAGTGCGGAAGCGATAAAGATAAGAGTTATACGAATAAATAAAAACCGAAAGCTACTTAAAGTGCACTAACAAGCCAGAAGTGCTAAAAGTGAAATACAAGTGTAAATACACCTAATCAGAGCGTAGAAAGTCTAGGTGTAGTCCAGGAGGACAAATACTAATTATACAGTACCATAAGATGTCCTACACTTATTATATATATGTCAGAACCGCCGGAATCCTCGTACGCCACCAACAGAAGTCTACCTAAAACCTAGAGGGGCACAAAACAGAAAACGTGAGTGGGCAAAAAATAAATGTTTTACAAAACCATTTCATTTCTCAACAACTCTAACCCCTCGCCGTAAAACATGTATAATTTTTCCCAGAAATAGAATATAAACATATGCATAAATGTATATATATAATTATCTTAACTCGAATCATGCTTCATATAATCATATTCATAAGTATGTCATGCCAAGATATAAACAGAATAAGTAATTCAGGTGAGATATGGAAGATAATGTATTAGCCGAAACCTCTGCATAAGTCTGTACGGCTGAATTCATAGTTCATTAGTCAATCTAGCCAGAGTCACTACCATGACCTATACGGCACTATACTGCACATAAGTCGGAACCACTAAAAAGGTATGTATGACAAGACTAGGTGTAATATAATTATGCTCAAAATTACGCTCTCATAATAGTTAGGCGATAAATCGCTAATCACCTACGAGTCGGAACCACCTATGATGGTCTATACGACAAGACTGTGCACCTAAATTGGATCCAATGTGAGCATATGGTGCAGGAGGTGACATTATAAATAGGCATGTGCCATATCTTTGGCTAAATCACAATCACCCTAGGTGCAGTTTTATGAGCTCAATGTTATTCAATCATATGCCATTAATCATTAATTCTCATAACAAAACATAACTCACCTAGCACTTACCTGAGCGTCCACAGCACCACAAATATGTATCTATGCAAACAATTCAACTCATATATAAAATATAAATTTATATGCATGGCATTCAAGGCATACTTTCATTTAAACGCATATTTCTGGGAAAATATCAAGTATATACATATATACTGAAAGTCAAAAGCCCACTCACTGATATGTTGAAGGCCCGTAACCCCCGAGTCGCCCTTGACTGCGCTCGTCCTCGGGATAAGTCTCACTTATATGCGGATTAACTGAATAAATGTTAATTTAAAGCACACAAAATCAAAAACTAGCTAATAACTTCTCATACAATGCTCAAATGGGGTGTTTGAATATACCAATGTGATCTACACAACTCCACGAACATCCCCATATTTTTAGAATAATTTTCTGACCACCCACGCGCCTGCCAAGGCACGACAACACGTGTGCGACCACGCGCAGGGAATCCTAATAGAAACCCTAACTACCGTTAGGAATATTCTGTGGAAATATTTCGTTAAATAATAACGAAATCCGTTAGTTTTACCTAACGGCGTTAGAATATTCCGTCAACTTTGACTATTCTATCTTCTTCTTCAGTTAGCCTCGTCGTCTCTGTTCGCCGGAAGCTGGAAAAATATGAAAACCTTCATATCTCACTCATTTTTCATCCAAATTTCATGAAACCTGTACCAAATTGAAGCTCTCAACTTGTAGAACATTTCCTTACCTGTTTAAAGCCCCAAAGATCACGGGATCTCGCCGGAGAAATTCGAAAAAACTGGCCAAACTTGAAACTCACGATCTCGACGTCCAAAATCTTCCAACGAACCACTCCTAGCCTCGTGAGGACCTCCTTAAGCTACCTATGAGCTTGAAATCCCAAAAAACACATGATTTTACGTTTGCATGAATAGTACCTCAAATCAGAGGTTATGGTTTCTCGGGGTTTTTGAGGTTTTCAGGTCTTAAAAATGGCATATATGAACTCAGGGACTTGCAAGGAGTTTGCATCTTACCTTCTTGATGTCGATCCGTGCTTGAAATGTGAGTTTGGCGTTTGTCCGTGCGTTTGTACGGATTTTCTGAAAAATCCGTGGGGAAGAAGAGAGAGAGAAGGCACGGGAGAGAGAGAGAGATAGAGTTTGTGTGTGTGTGATCCACTTGGGTCACCAACCAACCAAAGAAAATAACATCTAAGTCCCAAAGCATAACACACACATGCTACAATTTCAACGTCCAAGGATAAAATCGTCATTTTACATCGTCGATAGTAATAATTCGGGATGGGTTGTGACAGTTTAACTTTGGGTTAAATTCGATCTCTCTTGATAATTTGTGAAAACTTCAATTCCTTAGTATATTTTAACAAAGATGTTTGGCTGTACAAAGTTATGAGGAATTCCTATTAAAAACGGTTGGTGATTGGTTTACGAAACTTTCGGTCAATGATCTAGGCCGTTTATAATATCTCTGTAAAAAAATTAATAAAACCAACATTTACCTACATAGTTTGTGTGTATGAACACATTTTTTTTAGAAAATGAGAGAGAGAGAGAGAGAGAGAGAGAGAGAGAGAGAGAGAGAGAGAGAACGTGGGGAGAGTGAGAAGTTTTTGTTATTTTATTTTATTTTTAAATTTTAAGTATTAAAGATATTTTAACATCACATGTAGGTAGGCTTTAATAAAAAACAGTAAAATTTAGACTTGTGAAATTACATTATTGCTCATCATTTTTTTTTTGTGATAGAAGACTAAATTGTCTTTTCAGTCTCTTTTAGTTGACAAAAAGGTTTCATTAATTAGTAGAGATATGAGATAGTTAGAGTTTCTACCTAAACCAAAACTTTGGATGGAAATCCACGTGAGAAATTTGGAGGGCAACCCATCACTACACAATAATAGTCCACGGTCCGAAAAGGGATCCTCCGAATCCCTTCTACCTAATGTCACTCATCAAATAATTTGGATTCTTGAAATTTGATTCAAAGGTGACAAACAAGAATTCATTCTAAAAGTTATAATAACTTTAACCGTTAGTTCAAATTTCAAGAATTCAGATTATTTGATAAGAAGTATTAGGTGGGTCCAACAATAAAGACCAAAAAGAAGTCGATTTCTTGAAGCAACCGTGATCTCATCATGTCAGGCAAATATTGCCAGACCGACGCGTCTCCACGCTCAAATCTTCAGCTTATCAAACGCTTAGCTCACAAGTTATTCTTAAAACAAAAGCAAAAGCAGAAGTAACTTGTCCTTTTTCTTTACTTGATTATTGACTAAAAGCAGCAGAATTAGAAGCTTCATATTGTTTTCTTCAATTGGCTGCCTACTGAGAGAGAGTAAAAGAAAGATGGGCGTTTTGGCTGCTGCTTCTGTGCTTCCTTCAAATTTCAAGCCTTCGCTCTCTCTCTCTCATCACAGAGGATCTTTGTTTCACTATACAAGAACACCCAAGAAAAGAAACAGGGCCATATTTCCTGTAAGTTTCCTTTTACTTTTAATCATTTTATTCGCAGAACTTTTTTATTCAAGCTATATTGTAATCGAATCTCCCATATGTTGTGTTGGCAAGGGATTCAAACTTGGGTGCAGAGCGGGAGCGCCAACTTGACTACGCTCAAGTCTGCTTTTGGGTTTTCAGTTTTTTGTTTCTGAGAATTGAAATAGAATTCTGGGTTTGATTTGGATATGATTTGATTAGGTTAATGCAAGGCTATTTGGGCCAGCAATATTTGAAGCATCAAAGCTGAAGGTTTTGTTTTTAGGAGTGGACGAAAAGAAGCACCTAGGAAAGCTTCCAAGAACTTACACACTCACTCATAGTGATGTCACCTCAAAACTCACTCTGGCAATTTCACAAACAATCGACGACGCTCAGGTTTTAAGAATTTTGAATTCAAGTTTAGATTTTTCGATTAATTATTGTAACAAAGAATTTAATGGAAAATGGGAAATTTGATGCTGCAGTTGCAAGGGTGGTACAACAAGTTGCAAAGAGATGAAGTTGTGGCTCGGTGGAAGAAAGTCAAGAACAAGATGTCTCTCCATGTTCACTGTCACATAAGTGGATCTCATTTTCTCTTGGATTTGTTTGCAAGGCTCAGATACTTCATCTTCTGCAAAGAATTACCTGTGGTAAATCAGTAATTAATTAATAATTGTGGCTACGAGTGATAATTGACTTCTCAGATTGACTTATTTGTCTTGATGATACTCATTAAAACCAATATTCCCTTCCCTTGGTAGGTTTTGAAGGCCTTTGTTCATGGGGACTGCAACTTGTTCAACAGCTACCCAGAACTGCAGGAGGCTTTGGTATGGGTCCACTTCCACTCGAGCGTTCCAGAATTCAACAAGGTGGAGTGCTGGGGCACACTCATAGACGCCGCCGCCGCACCTTCTAGTGAATCATCAGGCGGGGCCCACCACCAGGAAATCAAGGGCAAGGGGGAGGAGGCAACTTCTCCAAGCAACTTGGACTTACCAGAGCCGTGCCAAGAGGACTGCGACTGTTGCTTCCCACCAGCGACTTCGATTGCATGGTGCAAATCAAACTAGGGTTGGGACCCACCAGAGCTTTCACGGGCTAACCCAAGATACAAACTAAACATTTTTCTCCTTTAGTTTGTTTAATTAATGTAAATAGATATATACCTATTAGTTGGTGCTTGTCAGTTTGGTCACAGACCAATCTTGTTCGACAACTGTGAATTCACGGTGCATCTTATCATCAAATATATGTCCAAAGTTTGCTAACTTATGTTTTGTATGGTATTTAATCCCATTACAAATTTGGTAAATACATTATGTGTTGTTCTATTAACATGAGTACATGTCACATATTATTGAATACACCTAACATCTATTTTCTTAATTAAAATTTATCTTAATACGCTTTATTTCTTTTTCATACTACTCTTACATCACACACTTTTTTTTTTTTTTTTGTTTTAAACGATAGTAGTGTTGTATTTCAAGAAATTGCAAGTTACAAGAGAGCCAATAATGGCTAGGGAGTCTCCTCAACTAGTGAGTCATAAATGAGTACCGGTGGGGAATCAACCCAAACACCGGATAAAAGATGTGGGCCCAGTTTAAGTAATATGGGTACTATTTAGTACATAGTTTCACCAAACACTCGTCTCTGTACAACTTATCCTATCTGATTTCTTATACGGGCTGCCAAACAAGGCCTTAGAGTCATAGGAAAGCGACAAACCATAACGAGCAAGTCGGTGACCAAGACACGACGTGCCATATTAAGAAGAAGCTGACCAAGACAAATTGTTACTTGTTCCGTACTAGCTTTTAAAAAAGGAAACTTTAACGAAAAGTTCTCGGTACTATTCACTTTTACGAAAAATCATATTTTTAAATTAAAAAATCAATCCTGGTACTATTCATTTAACTCTTTATTTTGTTCTTCTTATTAAAACTCAAAGTTTTCAAACAATTTTTATCAGTTTTCTTTTTAAAAAAGAATAAGCTGACCAAGACAAGACGTGCCATATTAAGAAATATAAGCTTCTCCCGTCGTTGATTTCATGAATGATTTCGAAAAAGAATACGTATATTGCATGACGAATTGGGCACCGTTGAATTTGAAATGAAGCAGGTGAAAGAATACTGTGATTAAATTAAGGATAAATTACATTTCACAATTCTCAGGTTTTGATACAATTACAACCTCATACAATATTTTTAAAACATTTCAATTTCACATATTTATTATCATTTTATTTTAATATTATACATTCGTTAAAAAATTTGTTAAGTTAACCGTTAAGTGATGACGTGACAAGTATGAAATTCGCCTTTATGTTGATGTGGCTGGTAACTTTGCATAATGTGTATAAAAAAATTATGTTTTTATTATTAAAAACTTAAAAAAAAAAATAGAAAAGGAAAAAAAATGGGAAGTTCATCTCTTTCCTCTTCCCGATTTCTTCCTCACCATCGCCACCCTTCATCCATTTTCCATTCCGTCTTCCACCTTGTCGCTGAGCCCACTGTTGAAGACCAAATCCAGCAGGCCGCTTACATCAACTTCAAAAACTACCTCGAGGCGCGATGGGTTCCTAACTCCTCTCCCCACGAGACCCATCCCTGACGTTCTCCACCTCTGATGCCCTTCTTCTCCAGCAAAGCTCATGACAACTGCAGCTATGCCTTTTTTCTTGTACTTAAACAACAACCCATGCCAATTTTTATTTCTTAATTATATTCTTGTCTAGCTTAATTAATGATCCAAATCAGATTTTGAATTCGACGCAAAAATTTGATTTCCAAAAAATTTTACTGAAACTTGACATGAGATACAAAACCCACCAAGATTTTGAAAAATGGAGTTATGAAATTGGGGGAGGGGGGGGGGGCGGCGAAGATTTGGAATAAGGGTGAGTGTTTCTGCAGAAACTTGAGTTTTGATTTCCTCCTCCTCGATGGGGCTCTTCGATTCGAGGGGCTTGGGGTTCGAAAATACCAAGCAGAGACTTGGGTTTGTTCCACGAGAAACACTGGGTTATGGTGGTAGTTTGACATCGACGGGGAACGGCGGTGAAGCCATCGTCTGAGTCGTCAGGGTGGGTTGGGAAAATCGTCGGAGACGACGATGAACAGTGGCAGCAGCCACTGAGTTTAGGGCTCAATGGAGATTTGCAGAGAGAGAAATGAGGGAGAGAGAAATTGAGTTGGGTGGTTTTGTTTAAAATTAGTGTTTTTTTTATCGATTTTTAATATTTTTATCTGCCACGTCATAAAAAAATGTGGACTTGATATTTGTCACGTCACCACTTAACAGTCAAATTGACGGTTTGATTAATAGATATATAAATTTGTAATAAAATAATAAGTAAATGCATGTGACTGAAATGTTTTAAACATGTTGTATGAGATTGCAAGTACACCTAAACCTGAGGAGGTAGAATGTAATTAACCCTAAAATTAAAGAAGAAGCAATATGTAGTGTTTGTATTGGGTGGCTATGCTTTTTTAATATAGTTCAAGTCTAGTTTAGGAGAAAATTTTGTGTGAGGCTTATCTTGTCACTGGACGACGCAGTGTGGCACTACCATCCACTCAAAATTTTCCACGTGGTAAGTTTTAAATATAATATTTACCATATTTTTGTATTTAAAGTCTTCAAGATTAATATTCTAATTCATCTAATCTTCTATAATGTTCCTTTCTTTATATGTCTCCTTTCGTTCTCAGGTTGTCCCACTCCTTTTCTTGCATTTCTTTAGAAATATATGCAACAATAGGAAGGAAAAAAAAGGAAAAAGAATTCACTTTAGAACCAAAGAAAACATCAACCCTGTTATGATTGAGAAAATAAACCACCCTATAAAATCATCGCCTACATACATTTTGAATGAATCAATAAATCATGGAAGCATCTTTATCTCTTCTTATGGGGTTTGAATTTTTGTACAACAAACCATGAGAAAATTTTCATTGGAAAATGGTAGATTCAACTTGTATCATCTTTCTTGGATACTAGCATATAGGCACACACAAAGTGTGTGAGAAATTTTTTTATTTTTTATTTTTTGAAATAGAAGGAGAGAGGAAGAGAGTGATAGAGAATGTGGGAGTGGGATTTTTTTTTATTTTTTATTTTTTATTTTTTTTAATTTACACATATGTTAGGATAATATGTAGGTGAGGCTTAAAAAAAACAAAATTTGATTGTGTGAAATTACATTTTTGCCCCCTATTTCTTATTCATGTTATGTTTTAATTAGAGGGTTAAACTGGTAATTTAATAGGATTTTGGTTGACAATGATTGTTTTATTAATTAGTAGAGATTATGACACACCCCGACCGAGATCGAGGCATGCTGGCCGTCACGTAAAGGTGACGTAGCCATGTGCACAATGCGAAAGCGATAAAGATAAGAGTTATACGAATAAATAAAAACCGAAAGCTACTTAAAATGCACTAATAAGCCAGAAGTGCTAAAAGTGAAATACAAGTGTAAATACACCTAATCAGAGCGTAGAAAGTCTAGGTGTAGTTCAGTAGGACAAGTACTAATTATACAGTATCATAAGATGTCCTACACTTATTATATATATGTCAGAACCGTCGGAATCCTCGTATGCCAACAACAGCAGTCTACCTAAAACCTGGAGGGGCGCAAAACAAAAAACGTGAGTGGGCAAAAACAAATGTTATACAAAACCATTTCATTTCTCAACAGTTCTAACCCCTCGCCGTAAAACATGTATAATTTTTCCCAGAAATAAAATATAAACATATGCATAAATGTATATATATAATTATCTTAACTCGAATCATGCTTCCATTAATCATATTCATAAGTATGCCATGCCAAGATATAAACATAATAAGTAATTCAGGTGAGAATAAATTCATGGAAGTTAACGTATTAGTCGAAACCTCTGCATAAGTCTGTACGGCTGAATTCATAGTTCATTAGTTAATCTAGCCGGAGTCACTACCATGACCTATACGGCATTATACTGCACATAAGTTGGAACCACTAAAAAGGTTTGTACGACAAGACTGGGTGTAATATAATTATACGCAATATTACGCTCTCATAATAGTTGGGCGATAAATCGCTAATCACCTACGAGTTGGAACCACCTATGATAGTCTGTACGACAAGACTGGGCACCTAAATTGGATCCAATGTGAGCATATGGTGCGGGATGTGACATTATAAACAGGGTTATGCCATATCTTTGGCTAAATCACAATCACCCTAGGTGCAGTTTTATGAGCTTAACGTTATTCAATCATATGCCATTAATCATTAATTCTCATAACAAAACATAACTCACCTGGCACTTACCTGAGTGTCCATAGCACCACAAATATGTATATATGCAAACAATTCAACTCGTATATAAAATATAAATTTATATGCATGGCATTCAAGGCATACTTTCATTTAAACGCATATTTCTGGGAAAATATCAAGTATATACATATATACTGAAAGTCAAAAGCCCACTAACTGGTATGTCGAAGGGTCGTAACCCCCGAGTCGCCCTTGACTGTGCTCGTCCTCGGAATAAGTCTCACCTATATGCAAATTAACTGAATAAATGTTAATTTAAAGCACAAAATCAAAACTAGCTAATAACTTCTCATACAATGCTCAAATGGAGTGTTTGAATATACCAATGTGATCTACATAACTCCACGAACATCTCCATATTTTTAGAATAATTTTCTGACCATCCATGCGCCGGCCAAGGCACGTCAACCGTGCGGCCACGGACAGGAAACCCTAACAGAAACCCTAACTGCCGTTAGGAATATTCTGTGGAATATTCCATTAAATAGTAACAGAATCCGTTAGTTTTACCTGACGGCGTCAGAATATTCTGTCAACTTTGACGAAATATTCTATCTTTTTCTTCGGCTAACCTCGCCGTCTCCGTTCGCTGTCGCCGTTCACTGAAAACTGGAAAAATATGAAAACCTTCATATCTCACTCATTTTTCATCCAAATTTCAAGAAACCCGTACCATATTGAAGCTCTCAACTTCTAGAACATTTCTTTACCTGTTTAAAGCCGCAAAGATCATGGGATCTCGCCAGAGAAATTCGAGAAAACCGGCCAAACTTGAAACTCACAATCTCGACGTAAAAAATCTTCCAACGAACCACTCCTAGCCTCGTGAGGACCTCCTTAAGCTACCTATGAGCTTGAAATCCCAAAATACACACGATTTTACATTTGCATGAATAGTACCTCAAATCGGAGGTTATGGTTTCTCGGGTTTTTGAGGTTTTCATGTCCTAAAAATGGCATATATGAACTCAGGGACTTGCAAGGAGTTCGAATCTTACCTTCTTGATGTCGATCCATGCTTG